ACCCATGAAACTATTCCAGTATTCCAGGCACGGAGGTCATTCCAGTGTTGGTGGCGAGCACGTCCTGTGTGTGCAAGTCCTGCTCATTGCAAGAGCTTTTTTAATGATCTGGTGCCTTCACAAGATGATGTCCCCCATAAAATGGGCTTGGGGGTGACAAAGCAGGGAAGTCACGCAGGGAGGAGGTGGTGGGGGCTGAGATGGAATCTGTGCCTCGAGAGCATCAGCAGAGCAGCCCAGGGTGCAGCTCCTGGTTTGCAAGTCCTGTGGTTGAGCTTGAAAAGGCCTTAAGAGAGCTCAAGGTAAGGCCAGGACTGAGTTTTCAAGGGATCTTGACACAGATCTGCCAAGTGACAACGGCAGTGGGATTAGTCAAGATGCCACCGGCTGAGCTCGGCTCCATCAGCCTCGTCCCGGCTGAGTGGCAGCTCCAATTAATTAAGGCATGTTCTGCAGAGGGCAGGTATTTTAATTGTTTTTGGTGGCTTAGCAGCCAGCAGAGCGGAGTAAACAGCAACCTCTCCTTCTGCTCCGTTTGGCCCCCCAAAAATATCCTCGTTGCACAACAACGTGTGCAGGAAGGAGAGCAGGAATGCGGCTGTGTAGGGTGGGTTGGGAGCAGATAATCCTTCCCTGGGCTCTGTTGTGCCAGATGACTCCCTGCAAGCTTATTTTTAGCCTCATTCTCTCCCCGGCCCCATTAAAGCCACTATCTGAGCATCTCTCAATGGATTGGGCCCGATAACATCTGTACAAGGCAGAGGAATGGAAACACGGTGTGACTTGCCCCAGGCCACAAGGGAAATGTGGAGCACAGAGAGTGATTGCTGGTCCTTAAATGTCAGCTCACGTGGCCTCCCCACCCCACAGACTGTTTTAGAGCCAGTTTTTCATCAGCTGCTGCAAAGTGGGGTGATTTCAGAGGAACTTGGGGATGTTTTTCAGGTACTGGATGTAACTTCTAATGTGCTGCAGGAAGTGCTGTAAGGCCTCTCCTTCATTACCTCCACAGAGATGATGAGCACTAATTAATGCTCCCAGTGAAACCTTAGAATCTCATTTAGTTCCAGACCTACTGTCATGGGCAGGGACCCCTTCCCCGATCCCAGGCTGCTCCAAGCCCTGTCCAACCTGGCCTTGGACACTTCCAGGGATGGGGCAGCCACAGCTTCCCTCAGAATTCCGTTCCAGCCCCTCACCACCCTCCCAGGGAAGGATTTATTCCCAATATCTAATCCAGATCTCTCCTTTTGTACGTTTAGGAATTGTATATCACAACATTCAGTCCATAAGGAAACATCAGCCTTTGGAAAAGTGCAGCTTGGGAAAAGAAGAAGAAACCATTTTATTGTCCAGCTGTTTATTATTTTAATAAATGCACCATGGTTTGATGCTGGAGAAATAGAAATCTCTTGCATACATGGGAAACTGAGTTGTTTCAAGACCCTGTCCTCAATTTTAGACCTTTTAGAAGTGTGGAAAAGACAGAAAAAAAAATAATGAAACTTCAAGAAGGAAATCAGGCAAAAAACCACCCAGAGACTTCTTTGTCAGATAAATGCTTTGTGTTTGTGTGCCATGAAAAAACAGTTCTTAGGACTGGTTTTTCATCATTCAAAAAGTAAATTGTCCTTCAGCCAGGGCTTGCAGTGCTGTGTGGTGCCAGAGATCTGACAGAGGGTGCAGATCAGAGCAGGAGCCACCGAGTCCTGCTGATGTTTGTCAGGGGTTCACAAGGCAGGAGGGGACACGGTGCAGTCACAGCTCTTGGGCAAATCATCCCAGCCTCTTCCTGGTCCTGCCCTGGCCCAGCCCAGGTTCTGATCCGTGGTTGAGTCACTGATCCACCGCAGTTCAGCACCTCCTAACCCTTCCCTGAATTTAGAGGGTTGTTTTGGAGGCTCTTCTGTGGCTGACCTGGATGGGGAGTGAGGGTTTGTGCTCCTTGCAGAGCTGTGCCAGGGGATTCCACCAGTCAGAGGGGTTTCCTGCCCTGTTCTTGGCTGTGTCTGTCCCAGTCAGAGCCTCTCCCAGTTGCACCTTCTCGAAGCCATTTAACCACAGAATATGAGGAGTTGGAAGGGATCCACAGCCATAGAACCACGGAATGGTTTGGGTCGGAAGGGACCTTAAAGTCCATCCAGTTCCTACCCCCTGCCATGGGCAGAGACACCTTCCACTAGCCCAGGTTGCTCCAACCTGTCCTGGTCAACCTGTGCCAGGGCCTTCCACTCACAGGGAACAATCTCTTCCCAATATCCAATTTAAAACTGATCTGTGTCAGTTTGAAGCCATTCCCCCTTGTCCTATCCCTCCAGGCCCTTGTCCAAAATCCCACTTCAGCTCTCTTGGAGCCCCTTAAGGTACTGAAAGGCCACAATGGAGTCTCCCCAGAGCTTTCTCTTCTCCAGGCTGACCAGCTCCAACTCTGTCAGTCTTTCCTCATAGGAGAGGTGTTCCATCCCATCCTGCTTGTCTCCAGCACATGAAAACTGCAGGTACACAATCCCAAGGGAGAATCACTCAGTGGTCAACCCTGGACTCCTTCCAGGGTACGTTCAGAGAAGAAACTGGGAGGAGGAATCATCCCTTCAGCCTCTAAGGGTGTAGACATCAGGTGTCAACCACCACAGGTCAAACCCCAGCCTCTGGCTCCTGCAGAAAACTGCTGAATTCTGTGCTCAAGATGTCATTGTCATGTGGGACCAACATGCTAAACCAGAGCTGAGCAGCCCCTGCTCCTGCTCACCTGCCTTATATTTGGGGATGAATCCCCAGAATTCCCATCCCTGGAAGTGTCCAAGGCCAGGTTAGATGGGGGTTTGAGTGGCCTGGAAGTGGAAGGTGTCCCTGCCCATGGCAGGGGTTTGGAACTGGATGACCTTTAACGTCCTTCCCAACCCAAACTATTTTATGATTCCATGGATGTGTTTGATCTCTCCAGAGGTTGGGAGGAGCTCATCCAACATCTCTGGGGACTCCAGTGGCTCTGGGTAATGTGCTGTGGCATTTAACTGCCAGTCTCCAGAAAGGACCACTGTGACCAAATTCCTTGTTGGGAAAGGGCCACTGGACGTGGGCAGGCCTGACTGCCTGGGAATTGTTTCAACAGTGCAAGGAGGTGATTCCCTGGAATGGGGAGTTCATGGAGCTGGTCACCCATGCAGAGAACAGCCTGGCTGGGAGATGTGCAGCTGGATGAGCCCCTTTTCAGTGCTCTGACTCAGGAGGGTTGGAAAAGCTGGAATAAATCATCCCGCATCCTCTTACCACCAGTAACCAGATGTGACTCCTATAAACAAGGTGGTTCATCCTGGGTTTTCCTTCAGGGGAAACCCCTTCCCTGCTTCCTACAATTAGCAGCTTGTTAATGCCCTGCATCCCAAGGATTTACTGTACTTTCCTCTTTCACAACAGTGGGCAGTGTCATTACCTTCTGCCATCCCACTGCCTGCATCCCAAATGGGATGCTGGCCCTTGTCCCGTGGTGTTTGGGTCCCCCAGGTGACTCATCTCCACCAGGGGGATGATTCTTTTTATTTAAAGATGACTCTGCACACCCTTTGAAGTTCCAAAAGTTCTTAAGGTGTGAGAGAGGAAAATGGGCCTCTTGGCCAATCTCCCTCTCCTTTTAATCCTCCTCCCAGTGCTGCCCTGACCTCCCAGCTCCTTCACTTCATGGCTCTTGTTGCTCCCACCCAGATCCATCTCCACACTCTTCCTTGCCTTTGTTTGTTGTATTTTATAAGGAAACCCTTTTGATGCACTGGCCTTGACCAGAAGGTTTTCTACCTTGTTTCTCAGGTCTCTTCCCATTTGTTTTGCTCAGAAAACCTAATTGAGAATTTCTTCCAGGTCTTTTTGTGCTTTCCCTGCTGCTTTTGTCAAAGGATCTCCCGGTGCAAGGCAGGAAGATAGAGTTTTGTATTTGTCAAATAAACCATCTGGGGAAGGCAAAGCATAATTTAGGGTTTATAAGTACATAGAGAAGCTGTAAGAGTATTTGAGAGAAATTAAACCTACGGAGTTTGCCTTGCTCTCAGACACCTCACTGGTACCAGGAGCCAAGAGGGCTTGAAGTGGTTTTCCACATATTTGAGGCTGGAGTGTTGGCACATTCCTTGCACCAGGAAAAGTGGGCAAAACATGATGTTTGTATCAGTGCCAGGGGTTGTTCTAAGCCACTTCTTTGTCAGATGTGAACGGAATCTACATGTGACAGATAGAGACAGACAAACAAGGAGTCCCAGGAGTGGGGAAAGATCATGGAATTCTGGAGTCACAGGATGGTTTGGGTTGGAAGGGAACTTAAAATCGTCTTAAAATCAGCACTCCTAATCCTGTCCTGAGGGCACCTCAGGAAGAGAGGAGTCAGCTCCGTGCTCTTCCCTAAATCCCTCATTCTTGTTTTCCTCCATGTTTTCCCCAAACTTGCCTCCTCCCCATCCCTCACTGACTGTGTCTCACCCGGGGTGGAACTGGGGGTGTTCCACCACGTGGATGCTCCATCAAGGAGGGGGAAAATGGATCAACTGGTTCTCTCCACCAGTGACCAGCCACCAGCTGGATGTGGCACCATTCCCTCCCCACCGCCCTCTGGGCCTCCTTTCAGCCAGTTCTTAACCCAGCCAAGAGTCCACCTTGTCCAAGCCCTTCCCAGGAGAATGCCGTGGAAAACAGCACCAAAGGCTTTACTGAAGCCCAGGCAGACACATCCACAGCCTCTCCCTCATCCTCTAGGTAGGATTCCTGCTCATACAAGGAGATCAACTCACAAGGACCAAGGCTGAAGAAGACCTTCCCACCCTGCAGTCGCTGCTGGGGCAGAAATAGGGGGGCTGAGCGATGAACAGGCAACACTCTGACACTTGATTTGGAAACAAGTTTATTTGAGGTGCTTTGCAGGCAGCGTGAACACACATTTTCTGATCTGGCAGCGCTACAGCTTTGCAGTGAAGGTGAAGGAGGAGCCGTCATCTGGCAGAGAGAGCCATCATCTCCAAGGGTGCCGGGCGCCCGGCACACCGCGGCGCTCCTGCTTACAATTCCTGCCTCCGGACGGCTGCTCCGAGACTTCCCGTGCTCACGGGAGGCCTCTTGGCTCCTCACAGCTTGTTGTTCAGGAAGAGGCAGAGCAGGCCAGCTGCTACCCCTCCTGCCATCCCGTAGCTGGACCTGACGGAGCCTGCAGCGTTGGCGTTGCAGAGGTCGCTGCCGCAGCAGGACACGTTCCTGTTGCCCACGTTGAAGTCCTGGTAGGAGCTTTCACAGGACGAGTCACAGCCCTTGCTGATGATGCTGAAGAGCCCCACGACCCCTGGGAGGAGAGCAGGAGCATCAGCACAAGGGCTCGGTGCGAGCCAAGCCTCTTGGAACTGAGGGGTAATTCTGACCCGAGCTCATTTCTTGGGAGCAAAAGTCAGAGAATCCCAGAACGGTTTGAGTTGGAGGGGACCTGAAAGATCATCTCATTCCAAACCCCTGCCATGGGCAGGGACACCTTCTACTATCCCAGGTTGCTCCAAGCCCCGTTCTACCAAGCCTTGGATACTTTCAGGGATGGGACAGCCACAGCTTCTCTGGGAATTCTATTCCAGCACCTCCCCACCCTTACATTAAGAATTTCTTCCCAATGTCCCACCTAACCCTGCCCTCTGTCATTGTTAATCCCTATCCCACATATCTTTCTTTCAGCAGCCTTTCAACACCCAGGAAATCCATCTGTGCCCATTTCAGATGGCAGACTTGTTTGATTTGGTTTTGAGAGGCACAGCCCAATTTTCTGGCCAGTTTCTGCTGTTTTCTGGCAGATTTTGATCACTGTGAGATCCCCTGATCCTGTGCAACCTATTCCAGGCATCAGCTTTTTGCCATAGGCTATGAATAGAACCAAGTGTGTTATGCAGTGCATTGGTTCTCCTGCCTGGGAGTGTCATGGATTTGCCCATTTCCCACCAGGATAATTCCTAGTGGAGGTGTTGCATCCACTGCCTGACAGGGAGCAGTTTGAACATCTCACTGATATCCCTGGGTCTAAGAGCAGCTGAGCTGTCACCAGAGATCTGGTGAGGGCAAACCAGCTCGGGAATGGGAGAATAAAATCCTAAAGACACACAGATGGCTCCTTTCAGAGCTGGATGTAGGAGGAATCCTCTCAATTTCCCTGAAATCACCTAAAATCAGCTCTCAACAACAGGGCTTTCACCAGACTCAGCCCCTCCCATTTTAATTCGTGCTTGCAGATATTTCAAAGCCATTTTAAACTTGATTATTGCCCTTGTAAGGAAATGATTTTGGGTGTTAGGAAAGAGAATTAAACCTAATTTTGTAACAGGTGAGGGACATTTGCACTCTGAGCTTTGATCCCTGATCCCTCCTCCCCCCCCGGTGTATCTGCAGTAGGTGAGGTTGGACTGGACACCTGAGGCTGGGGACAAGTTTGGCTCCCAAATTCCAGCTGGGACATTTCCCCCCCATCCCTCCCTCCCTCCCTTTTCCTTACGGATCACATCTGTCTTGCAAGACGTGTCCTTGGCACTGCACATCGTCTTGGTCAGGCACTTGGAGTTGCTGAGCTGGGACTTGCAGCTGTAACATTCCAGAGAGGAACCTGCAAGAGGAGTCAGAAGTAGAATGGCAGGAAAAGTTTGGGTCAGAAGGGACCTTCGAGGTCGTCCAGTTCCAACCGTGCCGTGGGCAGGGACACTTTCCACTAGACCAGGTTGCCCATCCTGGAATATCTCAAGGAATGGGGGGATCTGGGGATGTCTGAGCAACCTGATCCAGTGTTTTATCTCCCTCATGGTAAAAAATGTTTTCATTACAGGAGACCTGAGCCGACCTTCTTTTAGTTTTAAACAATTACCCCTTGTCCTGCTGCAACAGACCCTCCTAAAAACATTGTCTCCAGCTCTCCTGGAGCTCCTTTAGGCCATGGAAGGGGCTCTCAGGTCTCCCTGGAGTTTCCCTTCTCCAGATAAACTTTCCCAGCTCTCCCAGCCTGGCTGCAGAGCAGAGGGGCTCCAGCCCTTGGAGCATCTCCGTGGCCTCCTCTGGGCTTGCTCCAACAGGTCTTTCCTGTGCTGAGGACACCAGAGCAGGACACAGAACTGGAGGGGAGGAAATTATTCTACTCTTCTCATGGCTCATCTGAGGCTTTCCAGGGAACCCACTGGGAAACAGGACCATTCCTATGGATCCTCAAGGGATGATGACACCTCTGCTTTGGGGAAAAAAAACGGCTTTTTCCATTTTTTTTGATGGAGAATAACACATCTGCCTGAGGTGAGAGTCATGTTTTGCAGGTGCTGAAGATATTTCAGATGTGGGCAGGGCAGGGAGGGAGCAAAGAGAGACCAGAGCTAAAGCTGGGCTTGAAGAGAATCCCAGGATGGTTTGAGTTGGAATGGACCTTCAAGATCATCTCCTTCCACCCCCCTGCCATGGGATGGGACACCTCCCTCTGGAGCAGGTTTCTCCAAACCTGAGGGAAGGATGGAGCAGCAAACTGAAAGATCCCTTTCAACCTGTTTCTCACTTTGACCAACTTGTGGCCAAGGCAGCTCACAAGTGTCCAGCCCTGAGGAAAATTAATCCCCAGAGGAATTAAATTGAGGTGGAATTACTTGTTCTTATTATCTGCTCGTGCCCCAGGGTGGCACTGGAGCCTTGTAAGTGTGAGAGTTAATATATATATATATAGAGAGAGATAAATATATATATGGACTTTTTATATATGGACTTTATATATATATATATATATGGACTTTATATATATATATATATATGGACTTTAAATATATATGTATGGACTTTATAATTATGGAATTTATACATATATGGACTTTTTATGGATATATATATATATGTATATGGACTTTAGCCCCATGACCACCAAGCTTGTATTGTGAATCCCCCAAATCACTACCCTAATGCCTAAAATCCTAATTTAGGAAGAGGATTTCCAGTATTTACAGAAAAGCCTTGATTAGAAATCAGGGTTTTTCAGGGCAGGAACAAGAAGTGGTTGGAGGCACCTCTGGCTGAGCCATTCTGGTGTAAATGACTGACACAGAAATAAGGAGCCAACACCCAATTTACCCAAGTGCTGCACTTTGTTCTCAAGTTGAGGTGACTTTTGATGCATTGAAAGTCAAATTTTGAGCACTCTGATGGAAGCTGGAGGAGGAGAAGTTCTGCAAGACCCTTCTCAGCTTATTCCTTCAGCATCCTCTGCTGACCGAGGAACATTTCTGTTCAAACCTGCCTCTCCTCCTCTCTGGCAATAAGAAAAATCTCTTTTAAAGCCCTTTTTTCCCCCTGACAGTGGCCAAATCCCACCCATCCTGTCTATCAAATAACACACCAGGACATCCTCCTTTTTCCTACCCTGCTAAAATCCTGACCAGCAGCATCAGAGGCGGCTTTTGAAACCAAGAGGCAGAAAGAGAAGAAGTTGGAAGGAAACTCAACCTTTGCAGAAACGTTGCACTTTCGAAAGCCTGGGGAGCAGAAAAATAATCCTCCCGCCTCTCTTAACCCCCTCCCTTCCCTTCACAATAATATGGTCTGGTTTAAACAACTTGGGCTTCAATTAATTCAGTTTTGTGGAGGATTTATCCCTCCTGGAAGCTGCTCTAGGATGGCCCCACGACCGAGGTGGGACTACATATTTTTTTTTTTTTCCTTTTTCCCCATCAAAAAGCAAATTTCCTCGGGATGAGGAAACATTCCCCCTCCCTCCCTTCCAAATCCCACCACGAGGCTGGGGATGCAGGGGATGCAGGGCAGGTGCCTTACCTGAGTGCAGGCACAGGAGGGCTCCCAGCAGGAGCACGAGGAGAACCTTCATCGTGGGATCGGAGCTGGGCAGGGGCTGATCCCTGGCGGGGCACCTTAAATACCTCGGCAGGCGCAGGTGGGGCATGCCCAGAAGGGCATCATCCTTCGAGGGCACCCGAGCTGTCTCCTCTCGCTCGGCCCGGAGGGAGGGGTCGGCTCCGTGGGGCTGAGATTTGTGTCGAGGTGCCTCTCTCCTCCCTCCTCCCTGCCCCTCTCGCGGCTCCCCCGCAGCCCTCGCACCCCCTCCCCGCCTCGTCCCCTCGGGCCAAGCGGCCGCACGAGTGGAAAAAGCCCCAAATTCTTGCGGACAAGGACTGCCTTCTGAGTTTGTCCCGAGCCAGCGGGGCTGCCTGGGAAACAAGGCTCTCCCACCCCCACGGCCGCCCTGAGTGGGGCTTTTGTGTTTAAAGCAGGGACAAAAAGTTCTTTTAATAAACAACTCCAGCTATTTATCGGCGAGTGTGAGCGACGCTCATGTGATAACAAGGTATGTGGTGGCGAGGTATGCGGAGAAATGAAAGTTCATCGGCTTTTGCCGGGTGGTTCCAGGAGCTTTTCGAGGTGCTCGTTCCCATGTATTGTCCGTTTTCTGGCAAAAAAGCAGTGGGCAATTCTTATTTTTTATTAATTTTATTCATGTTGTTATTTTTGTTGATTTTATTAATCTTACTGACATTTAATTTTTATGATTTTATTAATTTTGTTATTTTTATTAATTTTGATATTTTGATTAATGTTATTCACTTTTTTATTTTTGTTGAATTTTAATTTTTATTATTTTTATTATTTTGTTATTTTCCAAATTTATTAAATTTTATTAATTTTATTAATTTTTGAAGCTTAATTTTTATTATTTTATTAATTTTTATTAATTTTTATTAATTTTAATAATTTTATTAATATTATTAATTTTATTAATTTTAATAATTGTGGTATTTTTGCTGATTTTTAATTTTTATTAATTTTATTAATTTGTTATTTTGTTAATTTCCAAAGGTATTAATTTTTATTAATTTATTAATTTGGCTTTTAAATTTTTTATTTTTAATTATTATTTAATTAAGTTTGATATTTTTGTTTATTTTTATATGTTTACTAATGTTATTAATGCTATTATTTTTATTAATTTCATAATTTTGCTATTTTTATTTTTATTAATTTCGTTATTTTTATCCATTTTTATTAATATTTATTAATGTTAATAAATTTGACTGATTTTTATGTGTGCTGAAAGCAGAGGGACTTTCCGGTGGGTTTGGTAACACTTTCAGCTGTTTCACTGAGCTGTGACACCCACCCCTTTGTGTGCCAGTCCGTCTGCCTGGCACAGGTCTGGCATGTTCTTGACACTTGACTCACATCACATGTAATGTCAACAACCCGGGCTTGTCACAAAAATGCCACTTCTGGTCACAGACAGGGTGAGTGGAGCCACATTCCAGCCTCGAGTGGCTGTTTGCTCCGGTGGGTTGTCCCAAGTCCTCTCCCGTTCCTCCCATCCTGAGACCACTTCTCAGGACGTGCTAGGGGAGAAGAAAACAGGCTATTTTTTCTGAATTCAATGCTTAATTTAGTTTTTTTTTTCCCCTGAAATCTCAGGAATTAGTGGTTTGCACTAATTCCCTTCAGGGACTCTCTCCAGCGCAGTTCAGCTCTCAGGACGCTTCCCAAATTTCAGGTTGTTGGAGGATCGTTGTCTTCAACCAGCAGCTGTGGGATGACTGATGGGGGGTCAGCTGGACTAAAAAATCTGCCCTGATTTACACCAGTGGAGAATCCGGTGCTGGGCATGATTTTACAATTCCCAGTTCCCCTGTGGGGATCTTAAGGACCTCCACTTGGGACTCTTCTGTGTAAAAAATACCTGAAAAACCAGCCTAACACCTTCTTTCTGTGTCTGTTGACTTCTACTTCCTCTGGTTTTTGCAGAGCACCTCATTTATGGCCAATTTTATGGGTTAAAGATAAGGCAACACGTTCTCAGACCGGGTGTTCCTCCTTCAGGGCTATTTAAGGCTATTTTTCTCTTTTTAATCTCTTATGATTGTCCCTGTGGGGTTTGATTCTTTATTAGGGAAGAACAGGGCAAGGGCAAAACAAAACCTCCCCATCAAATCCATCCAGGCCTTGAATTAAATATTTTTTTTCCTTCAAAAAAACTCGTGGATGAGGAAGCTGGAGAGCTCTTTTCATCTTCAGTAGCTTCATTTTCTGTCAGTCAAGCTCTCCTAGAACTATTATTTTTTGTTATTTTTTCAGCATTAAAAGTGTTTCCAGCAAAGACCAGAACTTCCAGAGAAATTCCAAGCTGAGAGCTTGTCAGTCCTCCAGTCCTGCTGTGGGAGATCCCAGAAATTCCTGTATCCTTGTAGAAATTGTTGATTCTCAATGTTTTTTGGAAGGTTTAAAGTGCAGTTCCTGCCCGACTCCTGAAGATGGCAAACGTGTCCCGTTAGAATTCCACACCCATTAACAGGCAGTTGTCTATAGGACTGTGTGTATATCTCGTCATTTTTATTATCCCAACGTTATAAAATCCCCAATTCTTCTGCTTTCATGGGAAAAAAAATCCATTTCTCGTGGGAATCTAATGATGTCAACAAACCACTCGGGTTTGTTTGTTTGGGGTTTTTTTTTAAAGCTATTTTATGTTGTCACTGCAGGTTCCTGATGGATGCAGGTCTGGAGATCCCTGTTTGGGAAGGAGGGAAACAGGGCTGGATTATCTGCTCTGTCCCTGGTGTCAGGCTGGGAAGATGGTGATGGATCATGGTACAGAGTGTGGTGTCATGGACTGTGTTGAGGTGCAGGAATGAGCTGGAAATTTGAGGATAAAATGGGCAAGAAGTGCCAGGGAAATCTGGACAGAGAAACTGGGGATCTCCAAAGGCAAAAGGAAGTTGCTCCAAATTCCTGGGCTGTGGCAACCACTTGGTGAAGTCACCTGAAGAGGCTGGAGGAAAGCCTGGAAGATGACAGAGATGTTAGAAACATGGAATGGTTTGGATTGGGAAGTAACTTAAACGTCATCTCATTCCAATCCCTAACCATGGGCAGGGACACCTCCCACTGTCCCAGGTTGCTCCACGTCCCATCCAACCTGACCTTGAACACTTCCAAAGATGGAGCAGCCACAGTTTCTCTGGACAACCTGTGCCAGGGCCTCCCCACCCTCCCAGGGAGGAATTTCTTCCTGATATCCCATGTAAATTTAACCTCTTCCAGTCTGAAGCCATTCCCTGTGTCCTGTCACTTTAGGCCCTTGCCAAAAGTTTCTCTCCAGCTTCCTTTGGCCACATGGAGAACCAAACCTGCCTGTGTTGGAGTACAAGGTTAGAAAAGGGAATCCAGGACCAGCTACTCTGTTTCCTCCTGACTCCTACATATCCATCCATCCATCCATCCATCCATCCATCTATCCATTCATCTCTGTGAACACCTCTTATATCTCTCTCCTTATCTCTCCATCTGTGTTCCTGCCCATCCAATCCCATGCCTCATTTAGGATCCATCCACACATTCCCTCCTTCCACACATCCTAATGGGGTTTGTTCTATTCCCAATGAGTGACTCCTTTATTCCCCACCCATCCCGATTTGGGACAGCTGGATGTTCCTGAGGCTGTGTTCCCAGGAACAAAGTGGCTTGTGCAGCCATTAGAAATTCCCATTTCCAAGCCTAAAACTGGTCACTAAAATCCCTTGTCTGGCATCTCACATCCCCACAGCCTGAGTAGGTTTTTGGAAAACATCAGCTCACTGGACATGCACCAAACACCACCCAGGAGTGGAAAATCCAGTAAGATTCCGTTGTAACTCCACACAGCTGCTTCAGGACATCCTGGAAAGGCAAAACCCCCTCGGCAGGTGGTTGGGCTGGGTGATCTTCAAGGTCCCTTCCCTCCCAAACCATTCTGTGATTCCATGGAAAGGCCACAGCTTGTCCCCTATCTCAGCCTAAGGTCTTTCTCATCCAGCTGTTTTCCACTCTCCTGTGCACAGGGATAAGGCTGGTCCAGCAGCTGGAAGCACAATTCCTGCAGCTCCAGGGCTTCCCTGGGAGCAAAGAGAAGCTCCAGCTGCTACATCTGGAGATGCTTAAAACTGCTCCACATCACAGTCCAGCTCAGACTACAAGGATTTGTATCCAGGTTTGCTGTTTCAGAGAAGCTTCAGAGCACAGGGAGACGAGGCTGGGATTCCTCAGGCGTCTTCCAGAGTCCAGAAAAGAATATTGGGAAGATAGAGAAAGGTGTCTGGATCTCTGTTATGGCCTGCTGAGTGACCTTTGGCTCGTGCCTTCCTTTCTTTGTGCCTCTTCTTCCTCTGATGGCTCGGGATTCCTGTGTCACCAGGGAAGTTTTGGGGATCTGTGGGTGCTCACAGGTGCGACCAGGGGTTATATAAAGGTTAAACAAAGCAGAAAACACCATTTGACCTTGAGTATTCCCACAGGGATCCAGGCACAGACCGGGACATCCAGCTATTCCCATTCGGGATTTCTGATTTTGGGAGCCAGCCTGACCAACCCTGGAGAAAAAAAAAAATTCACCTTCACATCCCCCCACCACCCCATTCTTGCTGACAACCACGAAATCAATGCAATGCTGCAAAATGAATCCCAGCAGGGTCCTGATCTTCTCTGCAGAGCGAAGATTCCACGGAGAGGATCCCGGGGCTGCAGGGGTTGGAGATCTCCGTAGGATGGTGCTGTTGCCACATCACTGCACGAAGCCCTCCCGGAGCGTGGGAGCGGCGCAGACTGTTTGTTTAAATAATCCCGGCGACTTCAGAGCATCAAAAATGCATTTGACTTTTTTTTTTTTTTTTTTTTTTTTTTTTGGTTATTTTGCTAATTGCTGAGCTCTTCTGCTTGTGAGAGACTCGAGGTGCGGGATCCCTGCCAGCCCCGGCTGCCGACGCCGCGCTCTTCCCGGAGTTGTTCGCTGGGGAAAAAAGGAGGGCATTTTCCTTCACCTACGCTTTGGGATGGGGTGGAGAGCGGGGAGAGCAGCCTGGGATTGACCACAAAGCGGTTCTATGCTTGCTGTGCCCTCACAAAACACTTTCTGACCCCCTCACATTCCAGGAGTTGCAGCTTCCCC